CCTCAGTGGAAGTGGCAAGCTGAGAGAGACAAGGCGAGGAGCACAGCCACGTCAGACTGACTGGGAGACATTTGTCAAGGTGTCTGCGAGCAACCTGGGCTACCACAACAAAGTGCCCCACACTGGGCAGCTGGCAACATTTTTTGTTCACACTTTTAGAAAAGCCAAGTATCAGCTGGGCTGTGCCCCTTCGGCAGCCTCGAGGGTGGGATCCTTCCTGGCCTTTCATTCACCACAACCTGGACTTAGGACTTCAGTGTTTTCAGGGAGGACACGAGAAACACACGCCCACGCCCAGCTGATTTGTTGGTCTCCAGTGACCAACAAACGCTTCTTTCTTGTGACTTTCCCTCCCTTATTCCTTTCCTCAGCACAAAAGAAACCTGGGAGTAAAAAGGCCCAATGCCTCTAGAAGGCACCGATCAGAAGACTCTAGGTGGGGTTCACTGTTGTGATCACGCTTCTTTCATGAGTGGGTTTTTCTTATTGGACAAATCTCGGCCATCCCTGAGTGGTGACCCCTTGTGTGAAAAATGAGGGGGTGCGGGAAGTTGGTTCCAGAAGGCTGCTGTGCAGGACCTGCCAGTTCCCAGCCAACTTGGGCCCATGGAACTTCAGTCCTGGAGGAATCCTTTAGCCTTGGGCCATCTCCCTGGAGGTCCTGCTGGGTTAGGGAGAGGCTGGCTTAGAGGCGCCGAGGAATGCGGCGACTCTGCAGGGCAGGTCCAGAAGGCCCTGGGAATCCAGTAGCCCCGCTGAGCAAGTGTCCCAGAACTAAGCTCTGTGCCTGTTCAGCACCCACTCTTCAGTCCCTACTCCCCGGCCCTAGTCCCCACCACTCTACTCTGTGTCTGCCATTTGACTCCTTCAGGCCCCTCATGAGGGAATCACGCTGTTTGTACTTACGTGAACAACACATCTTCATTGGTGTCCTGTTCTCAGGGTCATCCAGGCATAGCACGTGTCAGAACTTCCTTCATTTTTCAGGCCGGGTAACCTTCTGTTGTGCGTGTACATCATGCTCTGTCGGCCATTCACCCACTCACACGTCTCGGGCTGCTCACGCTTTTTCAATGTTGTGAATCATGCTGTGTGAACATGGCAGTGCAGGTAGCTTTCCAGGCTGCTGTTTGCAATTCTCTTGGGTACGTGCCCAGATGCGGGATCCCATGGCAGTCCTATGTGGAATACTTGAGGCCCCTCCACACTGTTCTCCACAGCAGCGGCTCCATTTTATAATACATCCCCGTCAGTACTGCGCAATCTCTCCATGTTGTCGCCAACACTTCTTTCCTGTTAAAACTTTTTTTTATAGTAGCCATCCTAATCCATGTGGGCGGTCAGTCACGATGCTTTTGATGCATTTCTTTAGTGACGAGTGATGTGGAGCACCTTTTCACGTGCCTGTTGGCCTCCCAGTCACTTTTAAGTCAACTTTATGCAGAAATTGGCAAACTTTTCACAATGGGGACGACAGTATTTTATGGGCCACAGGGTCTGTGCCATACCATGAGCTTGGAGAGCAAGGACGGTGTGTGTGTGTGTGTTCCCCATACTTGTGGGAGTGTTTTGGAGACACAAGTCACTCTAGAAAGTTCTTTGGGGCATTCTCTGGGATAAAAGACTAATGTGGACAGACTACCCAGGGCTGAGCGGGTGACAGGCAGACCTGACAAAGATAAGGCTCCACTTTGGGTACACTATCATTGGGAGTCTTCCACGATCAACACTTAGGCAGAGCTGGTGAAAACAGGGTGCACACCAGTAAGAGAAGGTTCCACTCCCAACATGCCTCTTTTCTTTCTCTCCATTCCCATCTCTCTGTGCTCTTCGAGCCCTTGGCATTAGAGAACCTCGGATCAGCGCCTGTGTCTCCTTCCCCCTCCCCCACACGGGCTGCCTGAATCTAGATGGGTCACGGGAGTGACCCTGCCCCGGGGATCCCACCCCCTGGCATGCCCACTGCCTGAGTGTCCTTGGCCTTGGCGGCTCTCTGGGGCTCCCCCTGCTGGTTAATGCGGGGGTTGCTGGCTTGTTCCTGGAAACGTCCTCATCATTTTACAATAATGGGGGAATAAATGCTGCTGGAGAAGAGGTTTGGACGAACGGGAGGCTGTGGACCCAGCAGGACCAGATAATCCAAGGTGAGCTGCACAGAAAATGCAGCTGAGGCCTCACCAGGAGCTTGTGTGCTAACTTGCTGGGCTGGCACGGAGGGAGGGAATGTTGTGGAAGTTGCAGGGAAAGGTATTTTAGTCCGGCTGAAGGGAGAACTTTCTAGCAGCAAGAGCTGTCTTACACAGCCAGCCAAGAATCTTCAAGGAGAGGGGAAGCCTAGAGGTTGTGGGCAGCGGATAGAAACGTACCCCACTCCTGCGCTGCCCGTCGAGTCAGCCTCTGCGTGGCTCTAGTCCTTCCCTGCCTTGGACTTAGACTCCCCAGAGGGAACAGCTGGCTACGGGCACCCCTGATCCAGGAACACACACGTGGGGGCGCTGATGAGGCCTGGGAACCCCACTCTGGTCTGTGCCCCCTCCACTTGCGTCTCCTGAAAGGTTACCCCAAAGAGGGCTTCCCCGAAGCCACTGGCCACCACCCCACTGGCTTGAACTTTGTATCGGGCCACAGTCCTTTTTGGAAAGCTGATGACAGCTATGTGCCCTCTCCTGCCAGAAGACATACATTCACGGCTGCCCCAAAGGTAGTGTCCAATTTGTGGGGCTCACATGACCCTCCCAAATCCACACCTGAATGCCAGGTCTGGAACCCCTGCTGCCAACAGCCCTGCTGCACCCGGGTCTGTGCCATTTCCTCTGAGTGCCTGGGCCAGGCAGGTCGTCGTCTGCTGGCCCTGAGCACCCACTGTGCTGGGGGGACACAGGCGGCTCTGCCCTCAAGGAGCTCCCGGCCCGTGGAGGGAGGAAGCTCACGCTGAGCTAAGTGGGGCCAAGCTCCAGAGCCACAAAGAAGCAGACCAGGCTTTTGCCAGAAGGGAGCTGGCCTTTCTAGGCCGGAGACAGATGGCAGAGGGGGCGGGGAGGTGGCAGGACCAGGTGAGCAGGGACTGTGACAGGGAGGGCCGTGTGGCTGGAGCGCAGCAGGTGTGAAGATCCGAGGAAGAGGCAGGGCCGCGGACAAGCTCGGGTGATCAGGAGGCGCCACAGCGCTTCTGGCAGAGGAGACACAGGGTGCAGGAGGCCCGTGGACGGCTCCTGTGTCCTGATCCAGGCTGGTGGCCCATCCCGGTCAGCACAGCTGCGAGGGAAGGGGGACGGGACCGAGAGGTGTCACCAGCGACCACGCGGAGCTGGGCATGGACGTCTATCACTCCCACCGTGGCCTGACTTTGTCCCCACCAAGGTTCTCAGCCACCAGGAAAGGGAGGGGATGGCCGGGAGGACCGAGGCCTGTGGTGGGGTGAGGTCAGCCTCGCGGTGGTCAGTGTGCTAGCTGGGCCCACGTCAGTGTTTGCCAACACGAGGTGCCGCCTGCACCTCAGACTCTCGGTGCAGTGGGCCAGGGGTGGGGCCCGAGTCTATTTCTAACCAGCTTGCGTGGGTGCAGGGGCTGGGGGCTCCTGTCGGTTGGAGACACAGATGTGGGTCCGAACAATGCGCTTTGGCAAAAGCTGTCGCCGGCAGGGAAGGTGGTGGTCTTTGCCCTCTGGGACGCCAGGTCTGTTCGGGAAGCCCCAACCCAGTGAACGGCCCCTCAGCTTAATGATCCCAGCACAGCCTGCTTCCTTGGGAAGCCGGCTATGACTCCGCGGCCCCGCATCCTCACTGCCCCTAGTGCTCTTCCCTTCTGGAACCGCTGGCAGCGTGGCGCATGGCCTACAGGATGTTGCTTCCAGGCCGCAGGCCGGGAGGCACCGGCATGTATGACGACCTGCTAAGCAAAACGGGTGAGCGGAGCGGTTCCCTGACGCAGTGCGTGGTAGACGTGGACGGCACAATCTCGTTTCCAAGGCACTTCTTTTGCCAAGGCAGCTTCTAGCATTTTCCCAACAAAACCATGAGGACCACACCAAGGGAACCTTTGTGCTTGTCACAGAGGAGCCAGCCTCAGGCTTGCCGGTGGTGGCAACGCCCAGCCCAAGCAGGGTCCAGGCCTGGCCCGCGCCCCTTCACCTGCTCCTACCCCGACTTGCAGACTCCCCGGAGGCGCTGGGAACAAGTGTGACTTCTGCATCCGCGTCAGTGGTGTCCTGGGCCTCCAGGGTCGCGTTTAGCTCCCCTGCGTGGGCCACGCTGCCCTGTTCACCCCTGCAGCCTCAGCGGCCTCCCCTTTCTCCACGCCCCCACCCCAAGCCGGGCCGGCCGCTTCCCTGCTAATGAAACTGACAAGCCATGGACTGTGGGCCTGACTTTTTATCCCGAGATGCCTCCTGGCAGCCTCTCCTCCTTCCCTTCAAGGTCCAACTCGATGCCGGTGCGTGTCACTCCCAGCAGGCACTGCATCTGGCGTCGCGGGGGCCATCGCAAGCATCTGAAGTCCACTACTCTCAGGGCCTTAGGGATGACCCTGGCTCCTATTTGCGCTCCTCCCCCCACCCCCCATTCGCCCTGCAGCTTCACCTGGTAACTTCTTGAAATTGGCCCGAGAGGTTCTGACTGTGAGCTGCAGGGAAACAGCTCCTTCTGCAACATCTCCTGGAGTTTCTCCCCAAACTCGACTATTGGTTTGCATGGAAATAAATCCAGTTCCCCAACCCCAACGAGCCAATGGGCTGTTTCTTCCCTAAAGTTCCCTCCCCTATTACAAGGCCACTGGAGCGGTAAGGAGCCCAGGAGAGCAGGGGCAGGGGTGGGGGTGTGGGAGACAGGGAGGGAGGGAGAGGAAGACAGGGAGGGAGCAGACCCCCAAACAGTTGACTAGGAAGCGGCTCCAAGAAATCTACACGCGCCCCTGTGGCTGCTGCTTTGGCCGCCCTGGCCACGGGGCTGGGTGCTCTCACGGGGGCGGCAGGAGCCCTAAGTTGACAGGACACTCTTGAAGGAGATTAGTTTATTGGTCCACAGGGGAGAATTATCCGTGGGGGACCGACCCATCGAGAGGGCCCAGTTTCTGCGGCGCCTCACTCGACCTTCCGCAGGTGGCGAAAGCTCTGCACAGTCCTTGCCACCGCGTCGTCCATGGTGACCAGTGGCCGGTAGCCCATGGCCTGCTTGGCTCTCTCGCAGCTGTAATAGTGGAACGTGCCAGCCAGCGCGACCCGCATGGGTGTGAACGTGGGCTGGAGCCGGATCAGAGGGCTGAGGACCGCCACCAGCAGGGACAGCAGGAAGGCCAGGTAGTAGGCCAGCCAGTAGGGGATGTAGTACTTGGGGGCTTCGTAATTGAGGCCCCTCAGGATGCAGGACAGGAAGGTCCAGAAGGGGATGGGGTCGTCATTGGTGATGTGGAAGGCCTGGGGAGAGAGCAGCGCGTCAGAAGCTGCTCCTTGGCACATGGAGCTCAGCAGGATTAACATTTGGGGAACCACTGGCCACTCGTGCGGGGGCCAGCTGCGAGGACAGTGGATCAGTCCCCGCACATCACAGCGTTTCACAGGGTCCTTCTGCCGAGGTCGGCCATGGCAGAGGCACCGCTGGATTGGCAGTTTTTGAGTCCAGGGAGGGAAGGCAACGGGCGTTTTAGCTGCGGGCAAGGGTGCTAAGTGGCGCATAGACCGTGCTGGGGAGTGGCCACTTGGTGGTTCAATCTAGTATCGCCGTTTATCCTGGTAAAACTCATCTTTTGTCTCAGATAGGATGAATAGGTCATATTATTTCTCAACCATGCTGTGTTTTGTCTAAACCGAAAGCCATTCTCATGCCCCCCACATCCTGCAAGTCACATAGCAGAGAGCTGAGGTGAGGGGGCGTGACAAACAGGATGGCCAGGAGGAAGGGTCACAGGGCCAGTGAGTCTTGCTGTCTCTGCATGGGGGCTGACACCCTACCCACTGGGTGCCAAACACCAGGAGACTCAGATACATCTGTCCCCTGCAGGGTGTAGGGTAAGTGGGAGCGAGGGTGGGGCCACGCATGCAGGCGGGCATCCAGCGCACGTCCTGAATGCGTTCAATGTGCGTCTGCCCTGGATTTGGGCTGCCCACAGCGGGTGGCACAGCCATGTCACCCCACTCTCGCTGGAGGGGCTCAGCCCCAGCCCCAAAGGGTCCTATTGCAGTGCTGCCAGACTCAGGATAGTGGGGCCAGGGGTGCAGTCACTGACGGGGTGCCTTACCTTCCCGCCCAGGGACGAGTCTCGGGAGAGGTGCTCCGCGGCCAGGATGTGCCCGTGGACCACGTTGTCCACGAAGGTGAAGTCCACCAAGTTCTTACCATTTCTGCAGGCACAGAAGGAACAGCGCCCAGGCAGGGCCTCAGCTCAGAAGAAACTGCCGGCCTGGGCAATGTCAGCCACTAGCATATCTGGACATCGGTTAGGGATGTGCCAGGGCCCTCAGGAACAGGGAGTGAATGTGGAAGCCAGGGGTCTGCTGGCCCACGCGCATGGGGCCAACACAGCTGCTGTCTGCTCTGGGCTCCATGTCTCCTCCCAATGGGCTCTGAGCACGAAGCAACAAGGCAGGATGGCACAGAGCAGGAGGCGGGGGCCAGGTAGTGGGGTACAGGTTAAGAGGGGAGAAGGGAAGAGGCAGTGCATGTGGAAGGCAGCCAGACGGTTGCCGCCCACAGAGGCCCCACCATGGGGACTTTCTTTCAGAAGGAATGTTAATGCTCCAGAAGTGTGGAGACTGGAGCTTGCGCCCTGACCAACTGTTCCCCTCTGAGCCTGCTGCCTCAGTTTGCAAATGAGCACAAATATTTTCCCAGCCAACGTGAGGGTGTACTGGGTTGAAAGGGTCTCCCCAAATTTCTGGCCCCCTGGGCCCTGTGCCTGTGAGCCTGTTTGCAAACAGGGTCTGTGCAGGTATGGAGGGGAGGGGAGAGCCCCCGGGGGCAGGGAGGCCCTGATCTGCTGAGCGCTGTCCGCTAAGAAGGGCGATGAGGGAACTCAGACACACTGAGGAAAGGCCACGGGGGACAGATGGGGAGAGGTTTGAGCCGTGTGTCCACACCAAGGAGCATCCCGGCTTGCTGGTGGCCCCTAGAAGCTAGGAGAGAACAGGACAGAGTGTCTTCCAGAGCCTCTGAGGGAAGCAGACCTGTCCACACTCAGACTTCAGACTTCCGGCCTCCAGAAGCAGGAGAAGCCACTGCGGATGTCTAGCCCCTGCTTGTGCTCACCTGCTGCGGCCGCCCCCAGAGGTAGGAGCAGGCATGGGGCCGCAGAGGGGCCCCAGGAGAGAGGGGCCGAGCCTGTGCCCTCTGGACGCGACTGATGCTAGCTGCAGCCAGCCTGGGGGCAAGGAGCAGGTGCAGGCCACTCACCCAATCATGAACTTCATCTTGCCATTCCTGGCTGCCTCGACGAGGACGGGGACCAGGTTGGGGTCCCTTGGGCCAAAGATGCCGTGAGGGCGGATGGCTGTGGTTAAAAAATTCCTGTCAGGGTCGTTGGCATCCAGGACGGCCTGTGGGGGAGCAGAAGCATGTCCACTGCTGATGTGCTGCACAGGGCGACAGCACCCCCCCAGGGGACAGAGCCGTGCTGAAGACCTGCACCCATGACCAGTGGGCCAGACTGAAATGCATGAGCCAGAGGAAGAAGAGTGTTGGCAGCACCTTATGGATAGACCTGGGGGCTCCAGTCAATGAAGTAGCAGGGAACCCCAAGGGGCAGCCACCACCGACGTATGCAGTCCTCAGCTCCTCTGGCCTGTTCTGAGCACAAACCCTAGCAAGGGACTTGAATGGACACATGCAGGCCCAGAAGGGACTCGGTGAGGTGAAGTGTCTGGGCAGTTAGGAGCTGCGCCCGCTAAGTCAGTCCTGCGGCCTTGCCGGGTAGCCAGGAAGTGCTTCTGCCATTATTCCCGCCACCTGCACTCACAATGGGAAAGCTGTGTTCTGTGTGGCTAAATGGTAGAGTTTAAAGAAGAAACAGGCCTTGCTTGGGAAGTAACAAAACTTCCTGAAGGATTTATGATGTTGTGGCTAAAACTGGGACCTACTCTGGGACCTGGCCTGATGGAGTTCAGAGCCCCATGCCTGGGCAGCGGCTCCGTGGGTGTGTGCTGAGCGCAGTCGTTACGGCCAGGGTATTTCTCCTCTGTGCTGGCACAGTTTTCACACTTGTCTTTGTCTCTGCAAGTTCAAGCTGCTTATTGATGGAACTAGCCGGCGAATGGGCGTGCCACAGACAAGGCTGTCCCGGTCCCCACACAAGGGGAGTGGTGGCCACACACATCTGCCGATGCCCTCTGCCAAGGCTCGTTTCCGTTACTAATGAGAAAAGAACTCAAAGAGGTCTATGTGAGCACCTCATTCTGGGAGTGATGGGGCTAAACCATGAGAGAGGGGTCCGCGGGTGTCACTGCTGGCAGCAATTTCCACTTGAGCACCCAAGAGTCCAGCAAGGGACACACTGATCGCACTCAGAGCTCATATGCCCAGAGGGTGGGAGGCCTGGCGCCCTGGAGGAGCGCACACAGGGCCCAGCGCAAGCACCGGGCCCCTCGGGGCAAGTCTGCGTGCGCTAGAGTTCCGGGCAGTTTCTCTGGGCGAGGACCGGGTGGCCGAGCCTGGAGACAGGCCTCCATCCACCAGAGCGGGGGCCTCTCTTGTCTCCCCACAGGCGAGCTTTTCTGCGACTGTCTGAGCTGGAGCAACTGCACAGCTGGGCAGCCCCTGGCTCTCCGGCAGCTAAGGGGCACCACAGCGACTCGGAGCTTGCCTCTGCACTGAGGCACTGGGAGTGAGGGCAAACCCCAGCGTGGGCACTATGCCACAATGCCTGGCATGGGGGTGCTCAGGCCCACAGCCGAAGGGATTTTCAGGGCCGAAGAGCGCCCATGGCCTTCAGGGTGTTCTCAGGTAACTCTCTTGGGACTGATGTTGTGGCCTAGTTGTAGCTAACGGCTGTCAAGGCCCCCGGAGCGCTGGAGCCTGTGGCCCAGTGCCTGTTGCTCAACTGAGACTGCTGCTCACACCTCGGTGCCCTGGCAAAGCTGGTCTGCCAAGTGGAAGAAATCCTTTTCCTTAAAGTAAAGCCAGATCCTTCCATTGTGAAAACAAAAGGGACGGGCTGAGGGGCTGAATGAAAACACAGGTGCCGTGTCAGGCCTGAGCTCTGCCTGTGCCTCTGGGTCATCGGCCATCACCTCTGCTTTTGGTTTCCACGGTGACCGAGAACCCTGCCTGGATTGAAGCTGGTAGGCCTTGAGCTCAACCGCCTGGGTTTAGCCACCCACCAGCTGCAGGGCATCAGGAAGGTTCCGAGTCTCTCTAACACCCGTCCTCAACTATACTCCGGCAAGGGTCTGACCCTATGGGGCCAGTATCTGCTATATTAGGCTATTTTGTAATTATTTTTAAAATTGAATTTCATCCACACATTTTACTTTCCAAGCGGGACACCTACTTGCTCCTGCAAGATCTTGGTCTCCGTGTAGTAGTCGATGGGGCGTGTGGCGTAAGGGAGGTCCTCGCTGCCGTTCTTGACATCGCGGCCCTCAAAGACGACGCTGGCACTGCTGGTTAAGATGAGTTTCTGGCAGAGGAGAAATGGAGACTTAAAAGACACAAGTCAGCAAAGCTCACCACTTTGGCACGCTGGGGTGAACAGAGCTACATGCGCCTGTTCACATGGGCACCCAAGGCCCCGGCCTGTGATTTTGCTGCAGCGCCTTTACTTTGCAGGCCTTGATCAGATAATTCCCAGGTCACAACTTCTGCAGCGATGCAGATCCCAGGCCCAGCATGAATTACGTCCTAGCAACAGTGGCGGAGGGCTACAACGGACTCCCGGCACCCGCGGCATCGTGCCACAGCAGGGGCGCTCCACAGGGAAGGGCAGCCCAGACTTCCAGGGAGATGCCTGTCGGGGAAAGACCTCACTGCATTCGACACTGTCTGGGAAGCCCGAGCCAGCGCGGCAGGTGAGACAGACCACAAGGTATAGTGACTTGAAGATAAGAAATGAAACCATCACCACTCTCAGACGTTAGAAATGTCTACACAGGACCTGTGATGACACGGACGCCATGAACGCGAGAGCACAGCAGGCTGCTGAGTACAAAACCAACATGCAAAACTCGCCTCTGCATTAGCACAGCAGCTAACACGGACTAGTGACACTTGAAAACGTGCTAAGAAAAATATTCTTTCAGAAACTAAAAATGAGGTACACAGAAATAAGAACAACAACAGATGGGCAAAACCTTTAGGAAGCATAGAAATCACTTGGAAGGCACCAGAGAGAGAGGCGAGCACTGTGTTCGTGGGCGGCCAGACTCAAGATGGGGAAGCCGTCAGTTCTTTCTCAAATCACCTATACATTCAAGGCAACCACAGCTCCAGGGTCACCTCAGTGTTTCCTGTTGTTACACAGTGATGGGGCAGACGCCCCTGGGAGCTGGGCTGCCGGGCGGACAGGGAGCGGTTTTGGCCAGGGACTGGCGCCCATAAAGGTGACGCTGACAGTGGCTGTGCAGCAAAGCAGCAAAGCCACAGCGGGGGCAGGTTGGTATCCTGCACGCTGCCGTTACGCCACATTTCTAGCCTAAAGGTGAAGAGAGCTGGCTTGTCTGTGAAAATATAAGAAGGTTTGGAAGACAGCATGGCGACTCCATGAAAGGCCCAACCCAGAATGACTGCATAATCGAGGAATCCCGCTTTGGTATTTACCCAGGAGAATGGAGAGCAGAGAGCAGGCCACATATGTGTACACGCGTGCTCACAGCCGCAGGATTCCCCACAGCTGAAAGGCAGAAACGACTGACTGTCCATCGACATGGGGGTGGGTAGACAGAGTGTGGTCTGCTCACACAAAGGGCTTTACTCAGCCTGGAAAGGGAAGGAAATTCTGACACAGGCGACCACATGGATGGGCCGTGGAGACGCTCTGTGAGGCGACACAAAGCAGATGCAAAAGGCCATGTGCTCCACCCCTCCAGGCCTGGAGCTGTCAACTTCATGGAGAAAGGAAGAAGGCCAGTGGGGGCCGGAGGTGACGGAGGGGGAGAGGGAGAGAGAGTGGAATGGGCAGAGTTTTAGTTGGGGAGGAGGAAAGTTCTGGAGAGGGAAGTGGTGAGGGCTGCAGAGCAACGGGACACCGACAAGTGGCTGGGACAGTAGTTGGGCATTGTACACTGTGCCACGAACAACTAACTTTTGTAGCTTTTTAACCAAAGGGTCCTCAGATGGCCACTTCTGCTGCAGACAGAGCATGACGGCTCACGTGGGCTTCGTTCCTAGGACCTTCACGGCAGCGCACTAGGCCCAGCAAGAGAGTAAGAACCCAGCTCCCACATGCCCTGCTAGCACGTGCTTCAGCCTCCCCTTACCTGAACCCCAGCCTCTCTGCAAGTTTCAATGATGTTCTTGGTGCCAAGGTAATTGACTCTGTAGAAAAGCTCCCTGTCATTACTGGACGGTGGCGGCGAGGCGCAGTGGAAGACCGTGCTCACCCCTTTCACAGCCGGGCACAGGTCCTGGAGAAGCAAACAGACAGAGTGTCGCCCCTGCTCCAGGCAGATCAACAGCTTCCTCATGTTCCCCCTCGCTGCTCTGGGGTGCGGGGTTTCCCTGGCCCTCTCTAACCCTACAATGAACATGGAAATCACTGTCTGAGAAGACTCAAACTGTGCACAAGTACAGGGGATGGAAAACGTGGTGCCCCTGTCACTGACCCCCCAATGAAAGGTGGTCGGGGCCATGAGAATCCTGTGGGATTGAGAAAGAGGTAACTTCGGTGCCTCTGTGCCCCACAAGGAGGGTTAGGGCAGGGCTCAGGCACTGGGGGTCAAGTTCTTGGGGAAGATGAGCTCATAGATCCCAACTATAAACCACATGGAAAAGCCCTACACTAGGAAAGGCAGTGCAAACAGCCAACACACTGGAGTGTTCCTTCCTGCGAAACTAGACAGAAACCAGCAACCCACAAGGAATTTAAAACAGGTGGTTACAGATGCAGAGCAGGAAAGAGACAGGAGCCAGGAACACCTCGACACGCCAGAAAGCAAGGAGGCTAGCCGGGACGGGCTCCTGTGACGGGATTTGGGAGCAAACACAAGAGGCCCCCGCTGGCCCAAGGGGGGAAATCTGATCGCCAGCAGGAGTAAGAGCCCCTTCTGCAAACTGGTGAACAAATGGAGAGTCAACACTTAATCTGCACGCGCACACTGATTTACACTATGAAAGGGGAATGCTGTGGGTGGGCAATTTTCATATCAAACCACAGCGAGACCCCACTGCAGACCCCCGAGAACGGCCCAGACTGAAACAGCAGACACAGCAGGTGTTGGTGAGGATGTCGGGGGAAGGGAGGCCTCGTCCACTGCGGGTGGGTGGGTGGGGTGCGGGCTGTGGAGGTTCGTGAACACATTAAAGTAGATGTAGCAGGTGGCCCTGTGTAAAGACGATGCTAGCTCGTCATCTGCACCAACGTGGATGGAACCGGACGGGGTGATGCTAAGTCAAGAAAGTCCGGAGGAGAAAGACAAACATCAGATGATTTCACTCCTATGTGGGACCGAGACACAGAACAAATAAATGGACAAAGTAAATCTAAACAAAGCCAGGAAACACGACTGCAGAACTGAGGCTGCCAGAGAGAAAGGGTGGCAGGGTGGGTGCAAAGTGGGGGGTCCCGATGACTCCACGGGCCTCGGAGGCAGGTGCAGCGTGGAGACACACACCCGAGAGGCGGGGTCTGGGGCCCCTGAATCACAGACAGGTATAAACCACTGTCCCCTAGGTAAGACAGTGATACAAAAAAAGAATTGAAAGCAACATAATAAAGTGTCTAGTGCAGACGAGAGAGGTGGTGAGCAGAGCGGAGGCGCTGAGGGTAGGTGAGATGTGTAAGGGGATCGCTGTCCTGTGGGGGCGGACACGGGGCTGTAGGAGCCGATCACGACGTGGCGGACACGCTGCAGAACACGGGGCCAGAGACTCACATAATGGCATAATCCAGCGCCACCTCAACACGAATGTGACGGAAAATACCTTTTCCATCTAAATGGAAAAAACTGCGGAGGTATTTAAATCACTTTTTGTGTGCTCAGCCTTTGCAATCGGCATGGCTTTCACATTTCCAGCACATTTCAATTCAGGCCGGCTCCTCTTTAGGGCTGGCGGCCACGTGCAGTGAGTGGGCCGTGTCAGGCCTGCCACTTACAGGGACTCTGGAGGACAGAGGGACCGCGTCCCCGGGGACTCCGCTGGCCACTGCGGGCTGGAACAGATGCGACAGAACAACAGACACGATTTCTAATAAACTGCAGGTGTTCGATAAGCAAAGCTGAAGCGTGTGAAGCGTCACATATCGACAGAGACTCAGACATTCCCTCAGCTTTTATGTCTCCACCCTGGTCAGTTCCTTATTTGGAAGAACAAGCACAGAGACACATTTATGAGGCGCGTGGGGTGCCGGAGCACGGGCTGGCTGAGAAGCCATCTCCACGTGCTTTCAGTCATGGAACTGTGTGTGTCTCCCAAGGATCTGATCTTCTAGACACACTCCAACAGTTATAGGAAAAAATAACACGATAAAAAGTGACACGCTCTCCAGATCCGGCTTCAAAATAAGCCGAAGGCGAGGTGGGCACAGACAGGAAAGGACACGGAGAACGGCCACGGGCCAGAGCACGACCGCGTGAAGGAGAGCCTTGGGGACACGCAGGATGTAGCGAAAGGCTCTGCTGCGCATTCAGCAAGGCTTCCAGAAAGAAAGAGTCAGCATGTGAGGAACTTCCTGCAATCAGGACAGACAAGAGTCCTCAGAGTGTGAGGTCTTCTGAAGGCGCGGGATAGGATTTAAAGGCAAAGCTGGCCGAGACTAGGATGTCTTCCCTCTGGACCAAGATGGATGAAAGGGCAAACCCTAACAGCCCGGCAGGAAACCGAGCTGACCATCCGGGGCGGGTGAGGGCCAGTGTTGAGGGAACGGTCATGTGCAGACGAGGGCTTCTGAGTGAGACAAGACACGGTCAGGCCGCCAGGCCCTTGATGTTCTGTGGGGTGCTAAGGGCAGTGGCTCGACAAGAACAGGAAGGAGGCGCCGAGGGGCAAAGCCCTCCGAGCACACAGCAGGATGACCGTGCCCGCATCAGCGTCTACCGTAAAGCCCATGCCTGCCTCATCCTCCCTGTCTTCAGGGACTCCTGCCCGGCACTGATCACGGTTACGGTCTTTGCCTGACACCCTCTTCCTATCAAAGCAGCTGGCCCAGCCCAGCCCTGCAGCAAGGCTCTCCTGCCAGGGCCCAGGCGATGGAGGCAGCTGGGGACAGCACGTGTGCGGGTGTTCAAGAAAATCTGGAAATAAAATACTAGTAACAGCAGCATAGGAGCTGGGGGACCAACGGGGGGGGGGGGCGGTAAGCATCTGCCTGGGAGCGCCATTGCCTTTGAGGGGCACACCGTGACCTGCAGCTGCTCTTGCTTTCCCGAGAGTAACGTGGCTTTCTCTGGGCAGGTAGCTCTTGGCCTGGGAGGTACCTGTTGCCCCAGGAGCGCAAGACGGAGTCACAGATGTGGCGGAGCTGCCTCTGCATGGAGGCAGCCACGTCAGCACGAGAGGCTGGGGGAAGTAGGCGAGGCTGGGCGGCCTGTTACCTGCGGGCTGCAGAGGTCCCCCAGAAAGAAGTGCACGCGGGGATCCTCGAAGCTCTGCCGCATGTCGAACACATTGACGGCGTAACCTCTGGCCAGCAACTGCTCCACCATGTGCTGGCCCAGGAAGCCAGAGCCCCCGATCACCGTGCACCTCTTGGCCTGCGGAGAAGGGGTGAGGTGAGAAGGGGAGGCTGGAAAGAGCTGGGACACTCCTGTCACGGAGCCACTGAGATGGCAGCCCTGCTTCTTTGAACTGCTTTTGAGGCGAGCTGCAAGTGTCACACTTGTGGTGCTTTCTCACCCCGCCATGGCGGGCGCCTAAGCAGTGGCAAGCACAGCCCCCGCTCGCTGGGGTGGGTCAGCCACTTTCCACCCTGACCCCAGGGGCTGGCCCACGCTGCCCGGGGCTGTCCCCATCCCCTTCTGCCTCAGCACACCCATCACAGCCATCTAAGACGGGGGCCGTGATGGGCCAGGCCTCGTTGACCTGAGTGCCGAGGAAAGGGACGAATCCCGGAGCAGACGTGGCGTTTACAGGTCGGCTTTGCCACGCATGTACTTTCCACGTAAAACCCAACTGTGGCAGTCAGGCCCTGAGACAAGACAGCAGTCGAGGCCCTGGAGGTTCCCGACATGCGCATTCCATTCCCTCTAGCGGTGAGGCCCTTTCCTCAGAAGGTTACACAGAGGCTTAGGCGTGAGTTAAGAAGAAGGCGCTCTTTCATCTGACTGGCTTAAATGTTCAGCGTTGTGTTCTATGAAATCAGTGGCGACAGAGAACCATGGGCATAGCCCCTGGGGGCCGCATCCATGTCTTGGGCTCCTGAGCACCGGCCACGTCATCCTTTACACCCAGCAGTCGCCACACAACGCAATGCCTGCTTGTCTGAACAGACTCTCACGCTAACCTTCAGCTGGAGGCCATGGAAGACCCAACTCCAAGCTCGACCCTGTGCAATCTGCCCACCCGCGCGAACTCCTGGGAGGTGAACTTTACTCGCCATTGACGTAAACACACCTTCTTCCGGCTGTGGTCACGTCTAGAGTGTCAGTGCCCATCCACGGCCGATGGCATCCATCTGTGCACACCTCCACAAGCGATGTCTGGGCCTGAGCACCCTTCCGGGCTGGCCTGCTGCAGGCCGCAGGAGGGCACCCGAGGCTCACTGCAACACAGTCCTGCGGGGCCCCTGCCTCCCGCTGAGCAAGTGAGTCCCCAGGAGGCCAGGCGAGGGCCAGCACAGATGCCACCACAAGGAAGGGCATGCTGTCTGCAGCACGGCATCACTGTGTCTACAGCAGGAAGTGCCCGACACCTCTGATCTAAAGCTCAGTCGTCAACGCTAAGTGCGCCAGACGTGTTAACCAGCCAATATGTGCCGAGGGCTTGCTGGCACTGGGCATTGGACCTGCCCTGCGCACCGTGGGCCTAAGCTTCTCAGGGTGGGTACTCACTTTTGGGATGGCTTCTGTCAAACGCGTCCGCGTGACCTGGTCTCTCGCTGGCTCTCCCACTGCTTGTTCCATTTCGTCTCCAAACACCGCCACGCTGGCGCCCGATTCCCCTTAAAGACCTTTAGAGACAGACATGGAGATGGCAGAAACCAGAACACTTTTCGGCGGTTAGGGTTTCGCGTCTCCTCCCCGAGGCTGACCCGCAGCTCTGCCTCTTGGATGGACACCCAGCTGCCAGCCCGTGACACTGCCTGCTCCCCCATAGTGGCCAAAGCTGGGTTAGCTCTGGCGTCCCAGGTCAGAGGCCAGACAGGAAGCCAGTTAAAGACCCTCACTCTTCAGTTACAAGAACAGCTCTGGCATCACAGCCTCTTGTGAGGCACCATGTGTGCCCATTACTCTCGGCTCTCCTGGCGCTGGTCACCCGGATGTAGCAGAGTGGTGGTAAAAAGCAGAGACCTGGGGAGTCCTGGCCTCTGGTCTGGGCCCCACCACCAGCTGGAAAGCTGCTCCCGTGCTCCCCTGCAGCTCATCCCCACCCACGAAATGGACTCAGCGCACCCCCGAGGTTGGAAGGGGGAGTGTCAAGCTGTCGAGCAGACATAGTCCTCCTTGGGGACAGCAAAGCCACCCTCACTATGCCTGGAAGGACTCAAATGCCCAGGCCCCAGACGCCCTCCATGCCAACGAGTGGCGAGCACAGGCTGGCAGGGCCCCAGCACAGACAGCACGAGCAGCTTGAAGAGTAACACCGCACTCTCCTCCAGGCACTGATTTACACAGAGCAAAAGTCATTTAACTTGGCGTTCAGATGTGTTTGGTCTTGCATCCCCCCTTTTCTTGGTGGTGGTCAATTTACTTCAGCCGGATACCCCAAAGGTAGATGCGGAGAATCGAGAGAGAATACTAACTCAGCTCGGGAAAGGCTCAATTCAGGAGAACGTGGAAAGTGCAGTGCAGGTGCAGGTGTGCTGCAGCTGATGCAGAGTGCCCTCAGGGTCCCTGGGCTGCCCTTCCAGGGAGGCCTGGCACCTCTCCCGAGGAGGGCGCACAGGGCTGCCCTCGGCCTTGACATGTAGGGCACCCTAGTGTGTAGCTGTGGGCTGAATGCTGGTTCCGTGGACCTGTGAGAGGGACCCGACATGCAAAAAGTGGTCTTTGTAGATGTAATTAAGTTACAGATCTTGAAGGGCGGAGACCGTCCTGGGACATTCGTGTGCGCTGTCCAAGGACAGGCACTGTTCAAAGACACAGGGCGGGGGGACATGTGAAGGGGGCTGCAGCGTGCAGGAATGCAGCCATAGCCAAGGGGTGTGCAGGGCCTGGAAGTGGAGAGGCCAGGAAGGATGCTTCTCCGGAGCCCTTGCAGGGAGCAGAGCCCCGCCGGCACCTTCATTCAGATTCTGACCTTAGAAGGGGGAGACAAGTGATGTCTCTTGCTTCAAGCCATCAGATTTGTAGTCGTTTGCTACAGTGGCCACAGGAAGACACACGCATCCTCCGCAGTCCTGAGAGCCACGTTACTGAACGCAGCTGCTGCTGAGAGCCGCAAAGACACTGCGCACACCCACGCAGCTCACCCTCCCAGCAGGGACGTGCACACGGCCTGAGTGCAGATGAGGGTGACCCCAGGGCAGGCAGCGTAGCCCGAGGAGCCAACCCCAAAGGGAGTTCTTCAAGTCAAGCTGAGCAGGCGGGCGCCTGGGAAGGTGCGAGGGCCAGGCTGTGATGGTGCTGAGCCAGCGTGCTCTCCCAACTGCGACAAGTTGCATCACTGTGAGTGGGAAGGGAGTCGACAACAGGCAGGGGGCTCTGTGTCAGGCTAAGGACCTACCCTGTGGGCAGGGGGAGGTATGCAAGTTGGGAGCAGGGGTGAGTGTTAAGACCACAAGGCTCACTGGCTGCAATATGGGCACCGGCTTTCTGCCATGCCCAGGGGTCCTGCATGTCAGGTAGCGGGGATGACAAGAGCACATCACAGATCAGGAAATCACCTGAAGAGCTGCTGAATGTCAGGGCTTTACACATGAGCATACCCTCTCCTAAGGACCTAGGCAACATGCAGTGAGCACACAGTTCCGGTCTCACTCAATAGATGAGGAACCGAGGCTCAGAGAGGTCGTGACTTGCCTGAAGGCACACAGCTAGCACAGGGCCAAGGCAGAACTAATGTTTCTTCCTTCCATTCAGCCAGGCTGTCACCCTGAAGGTAGGGTGGAGAGTGGGGTGTGGAGAGACATGAAATTAGAGAGGCTAGTGGGGCTACACGGGACAGGAGGCTGATATGTCTGGCTAAGGAGTTTAGCCTTTACCCTCTACTCTTGGGAAGCCTCTGAAAGTTGAAATGCAGGGGATGGGCTGGCCAGATTGTCCACTGGGAAGATGAACGGGGTGACACAGGGTGGATTAAGGAGGTGAGAGCAGGAAACAGGAACTACTCACCAGGGGTTCAACCCAGATTGAATGAGCACTGAATATGTGGAATATGTGGCCCTCACAACTGTGGGCACTGGTTGGTGTCCGGCAGGGAACAAAGCACAGATGCTGGCACTCACAGAGCTCACCTCCCAGTGCAGGGGCAAATGAGAACCCTGACTATGATATATGTAGGTCGTAGGGTGACAAGGACTATGGGGAAAAGCAGAGCAAGGTGTGGGGCTGGGAAGCGACAGCTGGAGCAACAGTCCTAAGGTTGGTGCCTGCGTATGCAAGGGAGGCCCGGCAAGGAAGCCAGTGTCCGGGGCTGCAGTGAGCCAGAGCAGGCCTGGAGGAGAACAGCTGGCCAAGTTTGCAGGGCACCTGTCCCACCAGGCCTGGCATGACTGAGGCACGACTCTGGCTTGTACTCCTTGGAAGGGTGCTGCAGAAGGCCTCTGCTGGGAGAGGAGTGGCAGAGGAGAAGGTGGTATTTAGGGGGCAGCACTGAGAGTACTTGGAGGCTGTAGAAGGGACAGAAGAGGTGGATGAGAGGGGAAGGTCTGGGCCTGGTTCGGTTCCAACAGTTTCACTGAACAGATGCAAGAAACCTCTGGCGTTTGTCAGTCTGAAACATTACAGCTCTGGCTCCCTTCTCCCCCAGTCACTGCCCCCGACAGCCGCCTGGAGGGCAGACCCTGACCCGCAGCGGGGATTCAGCCCACACGCTGGTAAGCGTCGCCTGTAACTGTCCAAGCAGAAGTGCTTCCAAGGCTGCTCTGCGACTGTGCTCACCAGGGTGTCCCAGCTTGGAATTCGCGCCAGCGCCCCTGAGCGTCTGGGTGCCAAGAAGATATTTTGATGATCTCCCCCTCTCTCGATCGCCCCTATGTTTTACTCCCCTCGAAGGCCGTTGCCAGGGCTCGGGCTACTTTCCGGGGGTGCTGTGAGCCACGCGAGCACTGCAGGACCCGGGCGGGCGCCATGCGCGCTTGGCCGCTGTCCTTCTAGGTCGGGCGAGGGTTCTCACCAAGGGACACCCTCAGAGAAAGAGCCTCAGCTAGATCCGGCTTCCCCATTCCAGCCGCCCGGCGCCGCGCGACGATGCCCGGCACGCCCCTGCGCCGCCCGGGTCCCAGGGGCCCGTGAGCACACCCCCGGCCCGCCCCGGCGCGCCCCCCGCCCTCACGCAGCCCCCGGCCACCAAACCCCCGGCGCGGGTGGCCTCCGGACCCGGAGCAGCCCTTACTCGTTCGCAGGCGACCCCGGCCGGCTTCCGCGCGCCCGCACCCCGCACTCCGCGCCCGGGCCACCTCCCTTTGGTCCCCGCCCGCCCGCGCGTGAGCCGAGGATCGGCCGAGAGGCCTCCGCCGCGGGGATTGGCCGCCCGGCCGCGCAGGCGGCGCAGCGCGGCCCAATGAGGCGCGCATGGGCCCCGAAGCACCGCCCCCGGCCGACCCCGCCCCCGGGCAGGCGCACGCCAATGGGGAGCGGGGCCGCGCGCGCGGAGCGCTGGGAACGCCGCCGGGTCGCTGTGTACGGCGGTTGCCGTGACGACAGGCCGGGCGGTCGGTTGGCGATGGTGAGTTCCGGCCGCTCGGGTGCGGGCCGCGCGCACGGGCCGGACCCTTCCGCGGCCTCGGCCCGGCCCGCCGCCTCTGCCGCGCAGCTCTCGCCGCCGGTGCGCCCTCCTTGCGCGGAGCGCTTTCCCGGAAACGTGGGGTGCGGCCGCGGCCGTGCGGCTGGGCCTGTAATTCGCCGACCCTGCCCGCTGCTTTGCAGACGCAACGGGCGAGTTTGTGCTGTTCCACTGCTGACGCGGGCTGCAAATGAAATGTAGACGCATTCGGGACTTGCTTTGAGCTTCTTGGAAAACGCACTGATGTGCCCAGTGAATTGAGTTTTATTGTATTTGGCCGACGCTGGAAGTCTCCAGAAAGTCGAAATACTTAGAGGGGAGCAATAGCGCGAGTGGGCATTGCAAGAGTTTCTAGAATTAAGACCGCAGTTTCAGGGAGAGCTCACTGGCTACAGTGATCCACAGTCAACCCTTCCACTAGCCGTCTTTTCAGGATGATTTTCAGTAAGTGCTGTCCCAAAGAACAAGGGATCGCCTTGCTTCTAGAAACAGTAGCAAAGAAGAGGGTGGGTAGCAGGCGCACGGGAAGCTTCCCTGTTCTTTCTGGTGTCACCTGCTGACAAGGAAATCTTTGCACTTAGTTGGTGTATGCGAGTTTAGAACTAGGGCTGTCTGTAACTCTTATGGAATATATTTATATAATGTTGTCCTCATGTGCTTGTAAACTGTCTTAAGGCCTCTAACTTTAAGAAGGCAAACATGGCATCAGCTGCCCAGCGTAAAAGGATGAGTCCTAAGCCAGAGCTGACTGAGGAGCAGAAGCAGGAGATCCGGGAGGCTTTCGATCTCTTCGATGCTGATGGGACAGGAACCATAGATGTTAAGGAACTTAAGGTAAAGCCCTGACATTCCTTCCCTGCGCCCCTGCTGTCCCTCTGCCTCATCTTTGTCATCTTTCCCTGTCCCTGCTGTACCCCTTTTGCCCTCTGCTCACTACAAAGAGTAACAGGACAAGGTGCCCTGGGGTCTGTTTACCTCATGTTATTAAATAAAATTGGGCACGAATGTCAATTTTGTCAGGGTGACAGTTTCCCGATCATTACACATGTTGTGTCAGCTGCTGCTCTGCGCCGGCTGACACTGCTCCTGCCGTCTGTGTGTGCCTACTGACACCCTCCCGTCTTCCTTGTAGGTGGCAATGAGGGCACTGGGCTTTGAACCCAAGAAAGAAGAAATCAAGAAAATGATAAGTGAAATTGATAAGGATGGGACAGGGAAAATGAACTTTAGTGACTTTTTGACTGTCATGACTCAGAAAATGGTAAGTCGGCAAGGTGATCAGTGTATTTCCCACCCACAGTGCTGGGCAAATTTGAATCTTGACATGAAAGTGTCTTCACTGAAGAAAAGTAGATAAAAACCAGCCACTTCAGCTGACAAAGGCGGTACTTATGTTGAGAATTAGAACCCTTACGTTCTCCTTAACTTTCTTCATGGCCACAAAGTCGCAGGTAGTGAGATTTCACCCCCTAGAAAGTGGCAAAAGCACCACTGCCATCACTTCTCCGCCCTTTCTTCAGCTGATATGTCAACGTGATGGCCACAAGCTGGCAGTAAAACCTGCGGGCGGTGCTGACATCCCCGGTCTCGCGTTTGACAAGACAAAGTCCTTATTCTCACAAGTTAGCAGTTCTTCGCTCTTGTACTTGCTCTGCTTTGCTGCACGCCCTGTGCATCAGCGCTCCTCCCCGCGCCGCAGGGCTGGCTTTCCTGAGCTTCCATTTCACCCATTCCCTTGACACAGGTGGTGCCCTTTTCCAGGGTCCAGAGGAGCGAGGAGGGGCTATAAGGTGTCACCCCAGGCCCCGTCACTCCCCTGAGCAGCATCCCTTCCTTGCAACGCAGTCGGTTCCCGTCGAGCCATTGCTTTGGCCCCCAGCTCCTTGTCTGTGTGACACCTCTGCCTCCCGCGGCACGAGGGCAGTAACTCCCGGTGGCAGGTGTGTTTTCCGGGGCCCAGGGCAGACTTCTCCATTCCTGCTCTCGTCACGCTGCTGCTTTACGATCAGTCACCCGTGTGTTCTTTATGGACTAGATCAGAAGCTTGCCATTCTGTGACCACCTAGTCTGCCCACGTTCCGGAGTTTGTTCCCACTTTGCTCTTAGGAGGGGCTCTCTGTCCTTCCCTGCCTTTCAGGAGCATTTGGGGGTTGAGCTCCCGGCGAGTTTAGCCTCAGCCTCTGGTAGAGTACTTGCATATTTCGTGCCAGTCTTGGCCTGTCCATAGCCAACATTGCGGCTGCACCGACTTGTGGCTGTTACTATGATTGCAAGATGCCCTTCGCCATGGCCACAGGGAGCTTTGGCAAAATAGAGGTTCATTGCTCAGAGCACCTGGAAATGACACAGCTCTCCCGGGCATGCACAGTGTAGTCTCAGTGGCTGGGAGAGAGAAAGAGCGTGTGTCCAGGTGTCCAGGGTCTGACTTTTATTGCGGTCTAGGGCGGGGGCCTACGAGTCCACCGCGTTCACTCTTTATTGGTGAATTTGAAGCATAAATGCTAGACGGCAAAGCACAGGAAGAGGGAAAACCAAGTAGCACAGTGGTCAGTGATTGAAATCAACCAAGATCCATGAAAGAAAGGGGCCTTGGCAGGGGCGGGGCATCTGGCCTGGCCAGAGCGTGTTTGCTGAGGGCAGCCCTCACTGGCATGGACGCCCCTGCATTCAGCAGAAGGTGGCACTGTGTTCCAAAGTAGAAAACCCAGCTGTCAGGGCTGACCCTAAATTGGGGTTCTGTGGCTCCCTGTGATCTGACACATGAAGCACCTCTCTCCTCCTGCTCCCCACCCAGAGGGACTCCACTTCCGCCCACTTAAGCAGCATATTTGCCCTCATTTTAATTCCCCCTCTGGTCCCGTATGTGGAGGTCACATCTAGTCTCTCGTGTGTAGGGAAAGAATGTTTCCAGCACAAGCCTCTGTGCTCCCTTCTCAGTCTCTCGGTTTGGCCTCTTTTTCTCCCCTGGGCGATGTCTGCTCTCCTATGACCCAGACCCACATCACCAAGGCCATCTTGAGGCCACGAGTGGCCTGGGGGCAGGGCGGGTGGCTTAGGTGGGGGCAGGCTGCTGAGCAGGAGTAACTGCTGTTCCTCCTCATGTGTTTTCTGTTCCCCTTGTAAAAGTCTGAGAAAGATACCAAAGAAGAAATCCTGAAGGCTTTCAAGCTCTTTGATGATGATGAGACTGGGAAGATATCTTTCAGGAATCTGAAGCGCGTGGCCAAGGAGCTGGGGGAGAACCTCACTGACGAGGAGCTGCAGGTGAGCGGCATGGGCTGAGGCGCAGGCCTTGTGCATGGCACTTAAACCGACGCGCAGGGTTCTTCCCGGGAACTGGGGTGCTCTGGCCCTCAGCTGACCGCTTACGTTTTCCTGTGATCGCGCGGCCAGCCTGAGGCCCGGCGCCCAGAAGCGCAAGTGTGCGGTTTTACGTAGTGCCACTGGTGGCAGGACCCCTCGGTCGACAGGGCCCCTCCGTTCTCGGCGGCGCGTGTACCCCCGCAGCTTGCTTTCAGGGAGCTTCCCGGAACCAAGCTGCTCTGAAAAGGGGTGCACGCGCCCGGGTTGGGCCGCGTTGGTCACATTGCCCCGGCAACTGCAGCTTAATCGTGCTCAGCTTCGGTGCCGAATTACTCTAACGTGAGCCCTCGCTGCTGCGCAGGAGATGATCGACGAGGCGGACCGCGACGGAGACGGGGAAGTGAGCGAGCAGGAGTTCCTGCGCATCATGAAGAAGACCAGCCTGTACTAGGGCCGCTCTCGTCCCCCTGCGCGAGCCGCGCGCCTGCATGTCGGGCCCGCCCTGTGTAAACCCGGCTTCGGGGAGCACACACTGTTCCCTCACCGACCGCGCTTCCTACCTAGCACCAACCTCCATGTGTTCTAGGCTCGTGAAAGTGTTCGATGGTGGAGGTCCTCTGCTGACCCCCTCGGCGCCCAGGTGGGGCGACCACAGAACGACTTCCCAGACAAGCACACGTCCCCGGGCGTCTCTCCCATGGTTCCAATTTTCCCTGACACCCGAGTGTGGCTTCCTTTTTCTAAAACCCCGTGAATCGGTCTCCCTTGCACTTGGATGTGCATTTGTGTGACTTGTTTTGTCTTAAAAATAAAGTCTTTCTTACTTTGAACAGGGTCTGCCACGCCCTCTTCCAGACCACTGTGTTGAAGGCAGCCCAGTGGTTCCCCCACACCTTCTGCCCTGTGGGTGGAGGCCCCCCAGGACCCTCCTCTGCTGCTGGGGACCTCGTCTTGCCTGGGGAGCCCTTCGATTCATAAAACCAGTGGAATTTCCATGCCAGCTAAGTAGCGGAAACCCTGAAAAGAGTTTCAGTGAAGTGTCAGTTCCAAAGAGAGTCCCATCAGCCATTGGTGCTCAGGCAAGCTGAGGAGGCAGCCATGCTGGCTTGGACTGACTGGCCTTGTTGAGGCCCCTCCTGGCCCTGCCTGGGATGCCCCCAGAGAGGTCCTGGCATGTGGCATTGAAGTCTCATGAGGGAGAGCAAGGGGGAGTGGAGAACATCAGTGGTGGTGTGCTCACTCACCCCGCAGGCTAGAGGGGGGATGGGTGTCCAGCTTCTGGGGGACACAGTCGTCTGATTTAGCAAACCCCAACAGGACACATAGTGCAACTTTGACAGAAGGGCCCAGCGCAGCCCCTGTCCGAGCCCTCCATGCCCTCCATGCCATTGTGCTGGGTCTTACAGAAGCTGCTCCGGCCTGCATACTGGTCTCGGGCTGCACAGCTCGGCACCGTGTTCTGGAAGGGGCTGGAAGAGTGGCCATCTTCAACTGCAGCCAAAATAACCAGTCTGCATTGACCACAGGTGTGAAGCAGGGCTGCCACCCCAGCCTGTCACCTTGTGACATGTCAAACGCATTTAGTGACTGAAACCTCCTCTGGCGGTGCCAAAACCCACAGCCATTGCCCTGGGAACTGGACGGATCTGGATGGGCGCAGAGCGCTCGCTCTCCTCTGCTGCCTGCTCTTCTGTCTAAGCCATGCCCCCCCCTTCCTTCCTGGTGGGCAGGCCTGCAGGCCTTGTGACGGCTCACTTCCTTTCTCCTCTTTACCTGAACATGTGCTGTGCCCCACAGGCCCCTCCAGCTGTCATTCTGGTCCGCCCCTCCTATTTCCTCTCTGAAGCTGCCACTCCCGCCTGAATTTGGAGGGCTGTGACGTCCTCCTGGCTGCTCACTGTCCTGTCTGTCCCCAAGGGACTAGCAGTTCTGGCTTCCCAAGGCAATGTCTTGCTCAGTCCTACCTGGTTCCATGCCAGCCCTCCTACTGAGCAGCCATGGCCTTGGAGGTCCAGTGCCTGTTTCCTCATCTAGAAAACAGGTGGTCTGGCTGAGAAGGAGCTAACAGATGGGAGTGCTTAGGGTCGTGCCGCGGGCAGCGCTCGTGGAGAGCAGACCGCCCTTCCTGCTCGCTGACGTTGCTGCCCACTCCCCCAAATCTATGTTTTTTGTCTTCTTATGAACTACCACCCCTTCCTCCTTCTAGAACACTGGTTTCTCAGTTTTTCTGAGTGAGTGGAGTGGAATTGTGGGGCTGTTCTCCCGCTGGAATTCCGGCCAGCTGCAGTGGCACATCCCTTGCCCCTAGGAGGGGCCCCAGGACAGAGAGGCCCGAGCCCCCAATCCCAGTGGCTCAAGCAGAATCTTCTAGGCACTTGGCTCACGAAGGGGAGGATGCCTTAGGGGAGAGGACGCTGGAGGGGAGCCCTCAGGAGAGACCCCTGTGTGGACACCGATACAGGGATGGCTTGTGTGGAGGACGCCTGATCACGTGTCGTTAAACCACAGTGATTGACAGGCTGGCATTTCTTAGTGTAAGTAGGGAAAACTGGCAGCCTCCTCCCGGCCTTGTTGACACTCCCGACTGTGAGTACCCCTGGAGGCGTGGCCTTGGGCCCTCCTTGCAGTGTTCTGGGCTCCCACCCCCTTCTGTTTCTGTCACACGCATGCATTCGTGGGCTTGGCTGACCCTCGAGCCAGGGTTTACCAGCACATGACAAATCCAAGCATTCTCTGGCTCTTTCTGACTATGCCCCCTTGTGAGGGTTTGAATTGTGTTCCCTGCAATATGTTGAATTCCTAAGCCCAGGGCCTTGGAACGTGGCTGTGTCTGGTGGCTCTAAACCCACCCGACCCAGGTCATTATAAAACGGGGAAATTTGGACGTACAGGTGCGTAGAAGGAAGACGATGTGCATAGTTCAGGGGAGACGTCCCTTGTGAGCCAAGGAGAGGCCTGGTGCACGCCCTTGGTTTTGCACTTCTACCTTCCAGAACTGACAATACTTGTCTGTTGTTGAAGCCATAGGGCGTCCAGGCTTCGGGTAGCCTCAGGGCGCTCACACCGCCCTCTCCTTAGTAATGTCTCTTGTCTGCCCCATGGGTGCTGGGTGGGAGTCCTTGGGGCATGGGGCAAAGCTGGCCCTGTGCTCTGTGCGCGGGGTGTGCTGCGGCTCGCACACCTGGCGTGACCTCCAGAGACCCCGTGACCCCGGGGCTGTGCACAATCACCAGCTCAAGCCTGATCTGATTTGGCGTCAACATTTGCACGGGGATACAGGCCCCCGTGACAGGTGCTGTGGGGGAAAGGTCGGGTGCCATCCTTGGCACAAACAGGTCCAGAAAGTAAACAGCTGGTTACAAACTGAGTCAGAAAAGGCAACTGGGGGTGGGGTGGGGAGGAGGGAGGGTGAGCAAGTCGCCAGGGTGCCAGCCTCCACGTTGTCTCCAACCTGCTCTACACACTTAAAAGAGGAAACTTTTCGGGACCCCCCAGATCCCGGCCTCACAAGGAGCAGCACCAGTGACGTGTCGTGCAAGGTCTCCACATGACCCCTGCAGGTGACCAAAGCCTCAGTACATTGTGGGCCTTATGGGTCCAGGGATTTCGCTCCCGGAACCGTCTGCCTCGAGGGCAGGGCGTTTGTGCGGGCTCAGCCTGTGCCTACCACGAGCTGCTGGAGGATCCTAGCGGCACTGCCGGCTGCAAGATGCCCTTCGGCATTGCCATGGGGAGCTCTGACAAAATAGAGGTTCATTGCTCAAAGCACATCTGGGGCCACACAGTGAGGTTATGGGGGTTGGGGTGGAAGGAGGGAGATTTGGAGGGAGCTAGAGGGAGAGAGAGACAGAGGAGGACGAGGAGGAGGAAGGAGGGAGAAAAGGAGAAAAAAGCTGGGGTTCTGCTTTGGTTAGGTGGAGGGTAGGGGCCAAGAGTTTAAACCCGAAGAGTGGGGTTTTAAAGCACAGGAATACAAAGAACAAGTAGCTCAAACAGTAACTTCTTGAAACCCACTGAGATCTGTGGAAGCAGAGGGGTCAGCAGAGGGGTCTGCCGAGGGGGCCAGGCTGCCAGGAGGGCTCACCGCCCAGCCCTCTCCGAGGTGGATGGCTGTCAGGGCTTGCCCTGTGACCATGAAATTAGTGAATGTACCTGAAGCTCTCGCAGCACCACCTGCGCGTAGCAGGCACTCAAAATATTTGTTAAGTGAGTAAATTCACAATTGGCTGAAGTGCTCAACTATAAGGTTTGGGAGTTAATGTCGCCCACCCTGGTGGTACAACGGGGGAGTATACTTTGAAAACAGGGGTTGCTGCCAAGGCCAATTGACTCTCTAGGGGTCCAGCAGTCATCCTGAGGGGGTGTTTCGATCTGAAACGAGGCGCACAGTTTCTGGGCATAGGTATGTGAGCAATTTTATTTTTTGCATATTTTAACATTGTTTTTGCAGTACCTTTGTTTTACACTCTTGCCAGTGTTTGACAGTGTGGGATCTCCCCCTCAGGGAGCCACCGTGGCGCTCCCACAGTGACGTGCCCGCAGCGGCCCCTGCAGTCCACTCTGCATCTGCGCAGTCACCGTCGGATGTGTTGGAAGAGTCCATACGTCAAAAATATTCAGACCCACTGCCCTGGAGTTGAACATACTCATTTGGGGCATGGAAAAAAGAATGCGGAAAAATATGCAAACCCTTAGCTGTGTGTGTGTGTGTGCACGCGCATGTGTGTGCACGAGCCGGTTACCTGGTGTTCACGTCCTCAAGGACACACCCTGGGGTCTGCATTATTTTGAAAGTGTCACTCCGTTTTTAGCTTTAGCTGCCTAACATTATCCCTTGGGATTCACATCATAAAAAAAAAAAAAATCTGTCATTAGATTTTCTCCCTTTGTCTTTTGCATTTATTTATTTATTCATTCATCCATGCAGCAAGTCCCTTAGGAGCACTTTCTGTTACACAGGCCGTACCACGAGGGAAACAGCAGGACAGGCTGCTCAGACAAGGCCACTCTGTGGACATGACTTTCAAGCCAAGATCTGCAGCCATGTGGATTCCTGAAGAGAAGGTGACCGCTGAACAACGGTCTCCAGCACAGCATCCCGTTTGCACGATTGGACATTGGGAAGTTTCTGGGTGAACTTTTGCTCTGGAATTTGAAGCGATAGAGGCACATTTTCCCTTTGTAGACTCCCCATTTTCAGCAGTCACCTTCCCTCTTAGAGCCTCTGCTGCTGGGACCACAAAGCCTGCTGTGTGCCACGCTGCCTCCTCCCTTTCCCTCCAAGAGTCGGCCTTTTCAGACGCGGCTCTGAGGTCATGCCTGTGGTGATTATGAGCTTCCTCTGCTTACTTCCTTGCCCGCCAATTCCCTCTCTTGCTGGTCAGCATAAACAGCTCACCCCAGCGGCGGTGCTGACAACTGCCAGATGCTGTGTTCTGCAAAGGCTTTTGGTTTACAAAGGATTGAGCCTTGCGACGTTGGTGTTGGGCAGGGATGATGTAGGGTTAGGTAAAAAGTATCAGGCTTTTCTGCCCGCCCGCCATTAGGATTGATGATGGATTCTTGCGGTCCTGACTGCATGCCTGATGGCGGGCACCTGGAGTGGGGTGTGGACATGCATAAGTGGATACACCTGTGCTCAGAGACGGGGCTTACAAAGGCGGTGTCACGGGGATGCCAGTGGAGCAGAAAGCAGAGAAGCAGAGAAGCAGAGACCACCAGAGAATGCCGCAGAGTCCAGAAAGAGTAAAGACTTGCTGGGGGCTGAGAGACCTGCCAGCCTCCTGGCCCGCGGGCACCCCTGCCTGCTGTGTACCCAGTAAAATCCCAATAAAAGCCTGAAAAGCCACTGAGG